TCACGTTGGACGAGGTTTGTCAGATATTGTCTTGTATTGTAACACAAGAAGAAGAGAAGCAAGACACAAAGAAATGCATAGGCATAGAGAAAAATACATAGAGAAGAGACAGAAAAGCTACACGCTACCATAGAAAACAGAAGACAATACATGTACTGCAGTCTACAAACACAAGAGATTGTAGATTCTGCTTTGTAAAAGGAAACAAAGAATATTTGCAATATGACCCACAAATCTGCTGAGTAATCTGGATAGGTGCAATATCAGGAAATAATGTAACTTTAGATAATGATTTAAAACTAGACTGGCACAAAAGACATTTTGAAATCTTAGATATTTAACTGAACCCATCTTAAAAGAGCTATGGGTGATCAATACGAAGAAACGGTTAGATTATTAACAGCATACTTGGCAATCAATTGATGTAAAGGAAATTTAACACTTATAGGGAAAATCACGATTATAACAACTTTGGTTGTCTCCACTCTTGTGCATATTTTCTCTGCACTACCTTACACGTCAAAAACATGCATTCATGAAATCAACACATTTTTTGTAAAATTTTATTTGGAATGACAAAAAGGTTCAGATTAAAAGGAAAAATATGATTCGAGCATACAGTGAAGGTGGTCATAAAATGGTTGACATTGAATCTTTAATAAATGCTCTTAAACCGACCACCTTCAAACGATATTTTAAAAAGAATAAAGGTAGCAATAACATCTTGCGCATAAGACACATATACCCACTCGGCTCTAATATTGGTGACAGCTTATCTCATATGGAGAATCCTTATTGGAGAGATGTTTCGACTGCATGGGGCATACTTCATAGCAAACATGAGTTTGATAAAAATGATATAAAACAAATCATGGTCGAACCACTCTGGTTACATCATCATTTTGAATCTTCATACATAATAAGACATTTGTTTCATCATGGTGTCAATTTTTAGAGATATTTGTAATGAAAATGGCATTCTAAATTTTGAAACTTTTAAGGGCAGATACAAAATATAAAAAATGTTTTTGGACTATCAAAAGTTTTTTTCATATTACAGCAAACGTACTAATGACAGTAGGCAGCTGAATTTTCAATATAGATTTATTCATAGAACCACCCACACAGAGAAAGAATTACTTCTGATGAACCTAGTTGATGATGGTATTTACACTGCAAAAAAGGTGTAGGATTCCGTATTCTGGAAACCTTCCACTTTGAATCCGGCCATGATACCTTCCAGAAAACCTTCCCAAAAAATGTCAAAATGTAGGGGAGGGTGCATTTTGTTCAATTAAGTGTGAGACACAAAATAAATATTTGAAACTTGAAGATTGATGAAGGTATCCAGAATGATTCCAGAAGGTATCCGGATGCAAATTTTCGTCATGTCTTGTTTTTAGTAAATAATGTCAGCCTGTTCATATCATATAGCTGCTGTTATATTCTGTGTTATTTTAGTTGCAAATATCCTCTTAAAGCTGAGATCTCTGAGCATGTACTTTTGGAGAGGACAATTTTTTAAATTCATGTATATTTCTGTTCAGATGTGAAGTGTTTTAATGAACAAACATCAGTGCTAGTATGATGGTATCCTTAAATTTCATGTTCAGACTTACAGTTCTTTCTGAGAAAAAATATCGACTACGGGCCTTTGGTCCTGGTGAGATGATAATAAGATTATTTGTTACGGTACCAGTACTTGTTATATCTAGACATACTAGCTTCCTTGAAGTTCGAAACACAATATGCCCCACCCTAAGGGTGACATATTCCAGATTTAATTGTACTACAGTGAGCTCCTCCTCAGTTACTGTTAACATCTTTTACTGAACGACATTGAGAGTTGAGTTGCCCTTCAATATCAGTTGCGACTAACAACAACAATTGTTGAAAACAACAATTCCGAAGGGCTATCCAGAAAATAAACCAGTAATGATAGCTCCTTCCAGAATTATATGTAACAATGAAAATATGGCCCACGCTTCTCACTGAAAGTAGGTCACTTGTAACCACTGCTCATAAGAAAAAACTTTATGAATTACCTTCACTAATGCCTTGACTTTACACTTCAACCCTTCATGAGTTATCACTTTTGAGTGTTTGACCTCGAGAATGAATTTGACCTTCAATATCAGTAACAAATATTTCAAACACATTTCAAAGGGCTATCAAGCAAACATGTATAAACCAAATATACACCCAAAAAAAGTTAGGCACACCCTAATATATTTCTTTATTGTTTGGTCCAAATTTTATTTTTGGAAACAGTCATTAATTACGGAAAGAATTATGTTTTCTCGATATGATGTAATCAGTCATGCGTGACGAAAGTTCACGTGCCATGCATGGTATGCCCGAGCAGCATGCTACACTCGAGTATCTCTAATGCAGTATATCCAAACGTTAAAATGGCCTTCTTAAGCTCGGTTTTAACAGTTAATCTACGACATTGTGTGACATATTGTGTGACCATGGCACGAAGGCGATTATCAAACGCCACAAAATGGCAAATAATCGGCATGAATAACGCAGGAATGTCTTGTAATGCCATTGGTCGGAATTTGGGGTGTCATCACACTGTCGTAAGCCGTTTAGTCGAGAAACATTCCCAGACCGTTGATGTACGAGACCGTCCAAGATCCGGAAGACCTCCTGTGATGACACATCGGGAAGACATGGACCCTCTTCGTCTCATACGCCGAGAACCCTTTTTAACAAGTACTCGTCTGAAACAGCTGTGGTTTCCCAATCGTCGTTTCAACATCAGAACCGTCATTAACCGGCGGAAAGCAGCAGGACTGAGGGCTAAACGAGTCATGAAGCGTCCCTTGTTGAGAGATCACCACATGGTGTATTGTGCAACAGAACTGGAATCTGAGAACTTGGAGACGGATCTATTGGTCAGACGAAAGTCGCTTTCTGCTCCACGTCACTGATGGAAGAACGAGAGTTTGGAGGCTCCGGTACATGGCCTTCACCCCCAGGAACATTAACTCGACTGTTGCATACGGCGGGGACTCGGTAATGGTTTGGGGGGTGTATCGCTAATGATTGCAGGTTGGATTTGGTCACCATAACGGGCAACTTAATAGGGGTTCAGTACATTCGGGACGTTTTTAGGCCAGTCGTCGTTCCTCATTTTGACAACCACCCTCTTGCTACTCGACCTCAGTACATGGATGACAATGCCAGGCCTCATCGTTCGCAATGCAGTCGTGGATTACATGAGGGCCATGCAATAACGACCCTACCCTGGCCAGCAATGAGCCCAGATTCAAACCCCCTTGAACATGTTTGGGATATTATGTGGCGGCGCATACAGGCATGAGATCGTCCTGTACAAGATTTACTCCAATTTTATGCCGCATTGCATCAGGAGACGTTGTCAACAGATCCAACGTCTGACTGGAGGTATTAGACGTAGGGAGGAATGCGTCATCCGGGCATGTGGTGGTTATACCCGCTACTGGTCTGTTTCACGTGTCATGTCAAGTAGAAACTTTAAAGAACATTTTCACATGAAACATCAAACGTAACTTGTTTACTTAATCCTGCAGCTCCATATTTGAGGTATTGTCTAAGGTCCAAAACAGTACCTGTGTTACCATGATGTTTTTGTCAGTAAATTTCAATCACAACTCACCAATATCTTATTTTAGTGCTGTCAAATGTTTGTTCTATCCGATGACATTGGTATTGCCCAGCTCCTGTGGTCAGTCATCCCATGGCATGATTTTAGCCATTTCTCATGGTTCAGGAATAGGGGTGTGCTTAACTTTTTTCTTTGTGTATAGATCCGTAATTCCTACATCTTCTCCTTGTTCTACCACAAATATACTATGATATATGAGTTTATGTGAAATAATATATCTCAAATAATCTCTGTTAATATAAAGAAGACCTTCCTTGATTGAATTGAAATATGGTTAATCTTTGAGACAGCAAAGGGCATGGAGATCGACTGATCCAGCTCCACTAATCCCACCCCAAATCATGATTAAGTTCCTTCCATAGCTGTCATGTTCAGCTATGTTGGATTTCCTGATATCTTTCTCCTTGTCAACACCACACTCGGGCACAACGATCTGTAAAGTCTAGACAGTATCTCAATCAACTGTGTATATCTGAAGCAATGTACATGGTCCGGTTATGTATTGACTGAATAATCACTGGTGTGCAAATGTAGCCTTTCCGCAATAAGCACAATTTAATTCAAGAATTCATACAATTCATCAAGTTTTGCTCATATGTATCTCCAAAATGTCCATTCAAATTTAAGAATCCATTTCACCTCATAAATTACCTTCCGGGGTAGAATAGGTCTTCAGCAACCCATGCTTGCCGTAAAAGGCGACTATGCTTGTAAAAGGATCGTGGATCGATGCTTATGATATTAATCACTGGATTGTCTGGTCCAGACTCGATTATTTACAGACCGCCGTCATATAGCTGGAATATTGCTGAGTGCGGCGTTAAACAACAAACCAACCAACCAAATCATTAATTACCAATGATTTTCATGGATTTCAATGCATCCCAAAGCTTTCGAATTTTGGAAATATTGTTCTTTTCAGCTGCAGAATCGTTGTTTATTCAGAAAAATGACTAGGCCAATGGTATACAATACTAATCAGTGACAGTGGCAGTAACAGATTATCTCACAGTACAATTAACGTTATAATCACAAAAGATCAATAGTTGTCAACGTGAGATGGCAACCCACACAAAGTATTCCAGCAGAAGCGTGTATTAATTATTACACTTTCATGTTTGAATATTATGAATGCCAAAATATTTCTAATCTGGTCCTCCGCGATTGAAACGAAAATGACCAAAAAACAAGACTGTGCGAATTTGGTTTAATGTATTGTAACAAAATAAAGTATATTTATTCCACATTGACATCGATGATGTCCTGTTCTGTTATGGTGATATACTATTTTTAATTAACTCAGTAAAGACAGCTTTATAAAATCAGTAAGGGAAACAAATCTTACCTTTCTCATATTCTGGGGGGACGCGGGGGTCATATGCCTTTTTGTCATCAGCTTCTGTTTTGTTGAGAAGGAAACTTATCAACTCGCGTCTGAAAGAAGAACATATGCGTATTTATCGGATTTCCTGCCAATTTCGGCACCAAAACAAAACGGTCTCACTCATGATTGTATCAAAAATGCCTTTTCACAATATCAATGTAGTGGTTAAAGGTACTGCAAATATTATTTTCAGAACGCCAGTGACTGAGTTACAATTTAACGTCGCATCGGCATTATTTCAGCCATATAGCGACGAGAGGTAGTTTATATATTCACAAGTGAGTCATTCATGAAAAGTTATATTTAAAAACAAATTTCATTATAACAGTATCAACCATACAATTTAAAACACGGGCTATAGGCCACCAATAACCAAAGCTAGGCCACCTAGCTGGGGATCGTGGGGACTTAAGGTACCTCAGCTTCCTGCACGATATCCCAGCAGGATTTACGTCAACACTTTTTCTTTTTCTTTGTAATGGGTTTTTTTGTTTAACGCCGCACTCAGCAATATTCCAGCTATGTGATGGCGGTCTGTAAATAATCGAGTCTGGACCAGACCATCCAGTGATTGATAACATGAACATCGATCCATGCAATTGGGATACAATACTAGCCAATATTAAAATATTCAACAATGAGTTGGCTTAAAAACAATGGTTCATGATATTAACAACGATTAGGATAGGCAATGGAGACAGTTATTCTATGGTACTTCAACTTCCTTCAATAATGTCCGTTGATAATAGCATATATGCTTGGGGTGAACCTTTCATCACAAGGGATACACTTAGGAGGTTCGTCCCCTAGTGTTTAAAGCAGATATTCGTGGATAACCGACTGTGACCAATACGACATCGTCGTAAAACTACCTCATCGTGTCTTGACTGACTACCAAAGTAGATTTGACCGATTGTTGGATTAAATTCGTGAAGTTTATTGATTCCTACCTCGGTGTCCCACCTTTTTTGCAATAGATCCCGAGTATAACTCTTGATTGTTGGTTTGAAATCACTGTACGGGATAAGGAGTGGAGATAATGGTTTGTCAAAATCCGCTTTAGCTGCAGCATCGGCTTTTAAGTTATCTGTTATGACTACATGACTTCGTAACCCGCAAAAGACGACATTGGGCAGTAGAAATATCATCATATAGTTTCAAACATTATGGGCTGATATGATAAGACACTTTTAAGTGCCTGAAGGCAAGACAACGAATCAGAGAAGATGATCGCATTTTAAGATTTTTAATATAGATCAAAGCTGTTAAGATTGAAATATTATCTGGGATTCTAGAGGAGACAGTTCTGGATCCAATGACGGTGGCATTTGTAACTTTGGACCCGTCTGTAATAATGGATCTGTCAGAATTATATTTTGATCGTAATTGGTTATATGCTTGTTGACGAACCAAAGGAGAACTTTCAGACTTTTTTAGTTGGGTTAGAGTGAGGTCTACTTCTGGCTTCACCATCTACCAGGGAGGAGAAGAGGGAGGGTGATATAATACTTTTAGGCCTATTTTAGGATCAGTGATGTGTGGTTGATTTTTTATTCCAAGAGGTGGAATCAAGTTGGACAGATTTCGAAACAGGTTTTCATATTGATGGTGCAAAACGCAATTGTGTACTGGATTTGATTTATTTGAATGTAATTTGCGGTGCTGTTCAAGGTTCATGACCCTCCACATACAAACTGTCAATGGTAGAGGTCCTAAAAGCTAACAGACAGAGCCTTAGGCCTTGATGATGTATTCGTGTTAGTTTTCTAAATTGCTTTTGCAAGCTCCACCATAGACAATGGAGCCATAGTCTAGTTGGGAGCGTATTAATGGAGTGTCCCCATTTTAACAAGTCGAGAGCCTTCAGGCACTTTGACCAGGAATTTGGCATCCTCTTCTAACTTGATAGGGGTACCATCTGAAATTAAATCTGGATCATTGTGAGGTTTATATTTAGGATAACAGTGAATACAGGTTGTTTTGGATTTACAAAAGTCATTTTCGTTGGCCCATTTTGGAATTTTGTTGAGACAGAGCTGTAGCTGTCTTTTTATTGTACTCATCTTCTTACCACGACAAGAAATGTTGAAATCATACACAAAAAGTGAACTATCAACGCTATTGTTTACTACTTGAGTGAGACTTCTAATTTGCATTTTGAAATGTGTGACTGAAAGTATGCTGCCTTGAGGGACGCCCTGATCTTGATCGAAATGATCAGACAGGGAAGAGCCCACTCATGCTGAAATTATATGTTGTTTAAAAGTTGAGATATAAACTGAGGTAATCTCCCCCTTAATCCAAATTCACCATTATCAGAGTAAAAATGTACTTGTTTCTTTTCCTGCTGTTTTGGAAATTGAGGATTATAGTTGGAAGATGAGGAATGGTTTGCCAAAGTAACACAAAACTTGTTGGCAATTTCAGATTGAGTCGTTACTAATGTATTACCATCTTTGAGATAATGAACTCCAGATTTGGTTCCTTTGTCCTTAATCTTTTGAATCATGTTCCACATGTTGGACATAGGTGTGCGGAAATTGATTACTAAGAACATAGTGTTTGCGTTATGTTCCCTGTATATTCCACCTTCCTCAACTATCCATCAATCAGATCTTCAGACTTTGTATGATCAGCACCCGAAGCCCTCTATCATCATTGGCGACTTAAACGGTCATAATCCCCTATGTGAGAGTACTGATACAAATAATAAGGGAAAAGCCCTTTGAGATTTTATCTCAAATAATAATTTATGCATCTTCAATGATTGTACTCACACCTATCTGCATCCTGCCGCTGGCACATACTCTGCCCTTGATCTTTCACTGACAGATTCAAATATTTGAAACGAATTCTAGTCCATTATGACCATTATGGAAGTGACCATTTTCCAACAATACTTACAACTATTTATCCGTCTGACAAACCACCTTAACAAGATGGAACTTTACAAAGTTCAATTGGTCTTTATTCCAAACACTATGTACTGAAAAACTAAACCTGACAGGTTCAGGAATGATCCTGATCCTATACAACTATTTTCAGATCAATAAAATGCTATTTGTGACGAAAGCATCTCTAAGTCCTCTGCAAACCCTCATATACTCGATCTGAAATTGCCAACAAACTTGGCAAAACTTTTGCAAATCATTCCTCATCATCAAATTATTATCCTTAATTTCAGGGCCAATTGGTCTTTATTCCAAACCTTATGTGTAGAAAAAGTAACACCTGACAGTTTCAGGAATGTTCCTATACAACTATTTTCAGATCAATTAAATGCTTTAAGTGATGAAAGCATTCCTAATTCCTCTTCAAACCCTCATTTACGTAAACTATGGTTCGATTATAATTGCAAACAAGCTATGATAAATAGGAAAAAAGCTGAGAAATATACATTATCAGCTCCTGAATTCACTCTTGCCCGATTCATGTTTGGAAACGCGACTCAATATATGCTATTATCATTCCTATACCAAAGCCTTGACTGGATCATACAGATCCATCAAATTACCGTCCAATATCATTAACTAACTGTGTTTGTAAAACCATGGAGCGCATGGTCAACAATCGATTAGTCTGGTACTAGGAGATCAATAACCCTTCTGAGTGACATCATGTGTGGTTTCTGAAAAAAACAGAAGTACCATTGACCATCTGGTGCGTTTAGAATCATTTATTGAATTTTTTATTGTCAACGAACAACTGTGTCAATCTTTTTTGTGGTGACAATCATGAGAGCACTGACTGTAATCATGATTTGAAATGTGCTAACTGTTCTGGCTCACATGTTACTTCATCTAAATCTTGCCCCGTGTGGCAAATGGAATCTAAAATCATGAAACTAAAATGTGACAGAAACATATCCTACCTGGATGCCAAAAAACTAATCAAAGATCAGACAACGACTCAATCTACTATTTCCTACTCTGCTGCAGTCTCCCGCCCAGTAGCAACATCATCTATTTCGTGTCAGACTGACTTGACATGGGTCAAGTCAGAAGAACCTGTTGCTACTGTTCAAATCCATCGACCTATTCCTGCCACTCAATCTAGTTCAGGATCTCAGACCGAGATTCAGCCTGAGAAACATTCTCAAACGTCTATGAAAGAACCAATAAATCAGTCAAAAAAAGGGAAAAAGAAATTGAATAGAAAACAAGCACCGATCGTCCCTTCACCTTCAGAGGTTCCTTTACAGAACTCATTTGGGCCTCTGGATATGGAGGTTACTCTGTCCTCACCGGACAGGCGGAGTAGTAGTTCCTCCTCACATTCACTCGAGGGATCTCCAATTGAGCCACCATGACTTAATTGTCCAACATAATACAGTGGAATTGCAGAGAACTTAGGCATAATTTTAATGAGATACAATTATTAATATAGGATTTTCATCCGTCAGCATTGTGTCTTCAGGAAACATACCTGAAAACTACAGATCGGTTCACCTTACGACAGTACAATGACTATCATTCATTTTCTCCTCCAGGAGATAAAGCAACGGGAGGCTCTACTATCTTGGTGCGACAGGGGATAATACATAGTCCTGTCCCTCTTAATACCAATCTTCAGACTGTTGCTGTTCGTCTGACTCTGCACATTGCTTTTACGCTGTGCTCTTTGTATATACCTCCTTCTTCTGATCTTCGACAGTCTGATCTTCAAAGTCTGTATGACCAGCTCCCAAAGCCCTGCATCATCATGGGTGATCTGAACGGACACAACCCGCTTTGGGGAAGTGCAAATACAAGTTCTTAAGGAAAAATCATTGAGGAATTTATTTCTGACAACAACCTGTGTATATTTAATGATGATTCTGCCACATATTTACATCCAGCCACTGGCTCGTATTCTGCCTTCGATCTGTCACTCACAGACTCAAACTTGTATAATGAATTTGCATGGTCAGTCCATGATGACCTCTGCGGGAGTGATCATTTTTCCACTATACTTAAAACTGTTAATCCTACTGATGAACCACCATCATGCAGGTGGAACTTTAACAAGGCTAATTGGTCCTTCTATGAGGTACTGTGTACTGACAAAATAA